TTGGAGACCCCGTGGAGCAGTACCACTCTGCCCTTCTAGGGTGGCCGGGAGTCGGATTCAACTCGACGACGGAGAGTTTGGTTTCGTCGTGGCTTCTCACCACTTTCAGCAACTCGGAGGATCTCTTGCTGAAGGATGTGTAATAACTTCACAACTGGTGTCTCTGGCCCCACACCTGTCTATTCTCCACCCAGCAGTCAGAGCACGCGGGTGAAACCCCAAGTCAGATGTGTCTCTGCTGCGCACAATGCACCACTGGTTGGCTGTCTCATTTGCTAAAAGCCCACGTCTTCTCAAAAGTCCTCCATGACCTGCCTGTCACCACCACCCCTTCTCTCCCTCTCTGGCCTCACCTTCCTTCACTTTGTTACGATTCCCCTAATGCCATAAGCTGGCTCCTGCTTCAGGATCTGCCCACTTACTGCTCCTTCGACTTCAGTGGGTCTCAACTTTCCCCTCCTCATGCTGCCACCCTTTCATACAGTTCCTCATGTGGTGGTGACCCCCCCCAACCATAAAATGTTTTTGTTGCTACTTCATCACTGTCATTTTTCTACTGTTATGAATCGGGTGACCCCTGTGAAAGGGTCCTTCGACTCCCCCCTAAAGGGGTTGCGGCCCACAGGTTGAGAACCGCTGCTCTACTTGGATGTCTTTTCCCTCAGATTCTGAATGCCTCCCTAGTGCACCCCCATCATGGGTCAGCCCAAACGTGAAGTGACCAGCGAGGCCTTCTTAGATTACTCTGTGCAAATCTGCTAATGCCCCCATCCACCCTTTGCACACACACCCCCACTCCGTAATGGTTATCACTGTCAGAGGACCTCTGTACCTGTCCATCAAACTATGAGCACCATCATGACAAGGATAGAAATTCGTGGTACCCAGAATAGGACCTGACACACGACAGACCCTCATCACTCTTTCCCCCATGCATGAATGAAACAATCAATGAATCAAGGGGAGATTAAGGTCCTCGAGTGGCAACTGGCTCTAAGAGTCAAGATCTGACTTCTAGTGCTAGCTGTGACACCAGCTGTAAGACCTTCGGGTCTCAGGTTGCCCATCTGTAAAGACTCCCAAGGTCCTTTGCAGCAGTAGCAACAGTCTAGAATGTTCCAGAACGCTGCTAGAAGGGAGAATGGACAGGCCCTAATGGAGAGAGGGTTCTCCCCCTCCTTTCTAGTTAAGGCCTGCGTAGACTCTTTGCTAGAACATTTGATATGAAAGGCAAGGCTCAACTTGGACTTGGCAGGGCTTTGGAGCCATCCTAGGCATGGGTGAGGGGACCACCCCACCTGCTGAGTGGGGCTGAGTATAGGTCTGGCCATGGGCCATGGGCTCCTCCTGGGAAGACAGTTCCTGTGAGGGAAAGGTGGGGGTGGGGTGGGGGGTGCTATTGTAAAGCCAGGACAAGGGGAGGGGAGGTGGGCAATCAGGAGGGGCCCCGAGTTGGGGAAGGGAGGCAGAGAGAGGGACTTCTGGGTGACTCACCTGGGCCTACCCATGGGTCCTCAGTGAGGCTGGGGATCAAGCTTCCATGCATTCCTCAGCAGACCCGCAGGGCCCCTCATGGCACCAATGCCCAAGCGAAGTGACGGGCCTTTTGGCTGGGAAAACCTGGTCCTCCTCCCTTTCCCGGGCCTTGAAACAGCTCCCTGCATGTTTTTCCCGAATTAAATGGGCTGAGCATATTGGGCCGGCAATAACCCCTTGAAATCAGTTGTTATCACAGTTAACAACCAGTTTGGCTTCAGTTCAGGCTGTTAACTATCAAACCACTAAGTGCCGGTAATGATTGATTCTTGGCCAGTTGCAGCTTGAGTGGGCTGTAAAACTCCATTAGCCAGGACTCTATGGAGGCAGCAACTTAAAGGATAAACAACCCGGTGGGTGCCCTAGCCCAGCCTAGCCCCACTGCTCCCAGACTCAGCTCCCATGAGTCCTAGGCATGGGCTTCTCCGAGAAGTCAACCCCTTCCCCAAGCTTCAGGTGGTCTCAGAGAACAAACAGATCCCTGCCCTCCTGTCCGTGCCTCTCCCCCATTCAACTCTCTCCTCTCAGGAAGGCAGACGTGGCTCTCAGGGTCGCCCACATCTTCTTCCTAGTGGCAATCATGTGGTACCATACCAGCTCACCCCCAGTGGCACTCAAGCCCCCCTGGTCTGGGGACTTAAGGATTCACTTTGGTCTAACCAGTGACCAGCTTTGACCCAGCCTAGCCCCACTTTGTGGCCAGGATCACAGGCAGAGAGCCTGACATTCCGTCCGCCAACCCCAAATGCTCCCCCCCCCAATCCCAGACTCCCTCCTCCCCTGTGGCTTCCCCCAGGAATTGCTCTCAAACAAATGAAATGTGGGTAATTACTGGGCTGGGGGCTGGACAGGCGGCCGTGCAGATGAAAGCGTTTCCTGGACGGTCTCTTCATTTGCATGGCATCAGAAGCTGCTCAGAAGGTGTGACTTTTCCCACAGGGGGACCCCAGCCTGTCCTTGCACAATAAAGCCAGGCTGCTCACCCAGAATTAATTAAAGGGGGAGGGGAGGGAATGGAGCCAAGGAGGAGGTACTAAGAGCTGGGGGGGCTGGAAGAGAAATATCTAGAACCCTCTCCTGCCGGCCCTAATGTCCATGAACTAGGAGACACCCACTCTACCCGGAGCCCCTTACCACCCCCATGACAGTTCAGAAGAGCCGAGGTGAGCAGATGAAGTGTACCCCAAACCTCTCATCAACAAGGCTCTCCACAAGCCCTGTATCCACCTGGGAGGGTGAACCTTGGCCTTGGGGCTGCTACCCTGGGAAGCCCCCTTGACTAAGAAGGCTTGGGGTATCCCGCACCTAACAGTGATGTAAGCAGTAGGGACCTGAAGACCTCTGGATGACTCAACAGCCGGGTTGTGGGATCAGGCCAGAGGCACCTTTGAAGAATGCAACAGCGGCGGCAGCAGCGGCAGCCAGTGCAGAAGCCTCAAGAATGAAGTTTGGACCAGTTCCACCCCCACACCTGCTTCCTCTGGACTCGGAGCCTCCTTGGGTCTGGAGAGTCTGCCCTCTGCGGTGTGATAACCTCCCTGCCCCCAATACGTGACATGGATGGGTGAAAGGATGGGTGATCGATAGTCTTCTCCCGGACTATTGATGGGCTCCATTCTGACCCCTCTCACCTGGGCTTCCTTACTCCTGAAAGTCCTCTCTCAAACTCGTCCTGCCAACACCTGACCAGCTGCTTTTCTCTCATGGGCCAGCTATGATATAGATTATCTGTTACAGATGATTATGATATATATATGACTATATCTATACACACACACTGTTCACTCTGCACACATACACATAGTCCTATCACTAGGTTACAAGGCCAGCTTCCCTTCCCTCCCAGGTAGCTTGAATCCATCACTCCAGAGGTGGACATCCTTCCTGGACAATAGGTCCCTGAGCTTAGCACGTTCTGCTAACAGCCAGATCTCCCAGAGCCCATGCCTGTTCTGCCTCCCCATCATCAACACCAGCTTGGGAGTCCCCCCGCCCCTTGCCCAGCATGCCCTTCCTAGGAAGCTGACTGCCGCTCTTCTCACTCATGTTTTAGAGCCTGAAACTCAGAAAGAATCGCTCTGGAATCTCCAACCTGTCTCCCACCACACAGCGAGAGGTACTGATTTAAAAATTCTCACTGAATCCATGATTGCAGTGACCTAAAGGATTCATCTGCTACCGTGAGGTCAGCAGTTCCAAGCCACCAGCTCCTCTGAGGGAGAAAGATGAGGCTTTCCACTCCTGTAAGTGTTCACAGCCTTGGAAATCCAAAGGGGTAGTTCTACGCCATCCGAGACCATTGCTATGAATGAGTTTGGCGGTGGTCAAAGGTTGGTGACTGTTGGCCTGGAAGTGGCTAGGGAAGTGTGACTGCCCAGCTCAGAGAGGGGTGGCCCCAGTCAGAGCTTCCAGAACTACTGAGAGGTCTCTTCCCCTTCCCCACCCCCATTCGCCGAGGATGACCCTGATGACCACTAGAACCCCTCTAGTGACCATGGTGACTGACAGGCTTGGGCATCTGGGCAGGCTGGAAGAAGGTTTCATGACCCAACTGCTGGGACAGGGAAAGGGAAGGGAGAGACCCTGCCAGGACCCTCTGCTACACACATTTTTAACAGTGATGTGAAATGGATAGTCCCATCCTTGACTAGCAACTAGTACACAACCCATGGAGTTCTGGCGGCATAGTGGTGACACAATGGGCTGCAATCCACAAGGCCAGGAGTTCAAAACTACCAGCAGCCCTGTGGGAGAAAGCTGAGGCTTTCCATGCCTGTAAAGTTACAGGCTCAGAAACTCACAGGGGCAGCTCCTCCCTGTCCTGTCAGGTCACTGAGTCAGCACTGACTGGATGGCACTGAGTAGGTAAGTATACAACCTCCCTCCATTGACACCTGCCTCTAACAGCAGTTCTCAACCTTTGGGTCGCGACCCCTTTGGAGGTCGAACGACCCTTTCACAGGGGTCGCCTGATTCATAACAGTAGCAAAATGACAGTGATGAAGTAGCAACGAAAATAATTTTATGGTTGGGGGGGGGTCACCACCACATGAGGAGCTGTATGAAAGGGTCCGAGACTTTAGGAAGGTTGAGAAGCACTGCTCTAAAAGCACAGAACTAAGTCCCAACCCTTCCCTTCCCGCCCCTACCTGGCTCTGACACCTGGGGTCACAGGTGTCCTTCCTCTGGGGTAGAACCAGCCCCTCACCCTCACCGGCAGGGAACCCCGCGCCTAAAGCCCAGTCTAGGCCCCAAGCCGGCCTTCCCGAAAGTGAAGAAGACACGTCACACTACAGCCAAGTGGAATACAAAAATAGAGCCTCTCTTTTGTTTAAAAAAAAAAAACCCAACAGCAAACAATTATCCACAACTAGACGGGCCCCAGCTCCTCCCCTGCTGCGGAAGCCGTGCGCAGCTGTCCAAGGTCGGCCGGGTTCGGCGGTGCAGGGAGGGCCGGGCGGCTCCTATCGGGGCTCCGGGGCCCAAGTCCTCTGGCTGCCCCGCAGGCTGCGCGTGAAGGGCGGGTAGTTGAGGAACTCGAAGCGCAGGCTCTGCTCCGTGGTGTGGTGGCCGCGGGGCAGCCGCTTCATGAAGTGGACCTCGCGCTGGTGCTGGCGCGTCTTGGAGCCCTTGCGGGGCCGGCCCTTGCGGGTGAAGGCCATGTACCAGCCCTCGTACTTGGCGTTCTGCAGGGCCGTGTAGTTGTTCTCCAGCACGATCTCCGTGAACACGCAGTCCTTGCCTTTGCCGTTGCTCTGCAGGTAGGGACCGAGACCCCGCGTTACTGGGCTCCGTGCGGAGCCGCCCCCACCCCCACCCCACACTCCCCGCGGCCCAGGCAGAGGGCAAGCGGCCGCAGACAGCAGGCGGACACCCCAGCAGATGGCGAGGTGGGCACCCGCTCTCTAATCCCTTACAACCCGCAGCCCACCCGGCAACTTCCTGTCCTCCCGGGCTGCAGTGACACATGGCTGGGCCCCAACACAGAGAGGCAGAAAGGGGGGCCCAGCGCGAGCCCGCCTGGCCTCCTGCCCACCGGGCTGGCCAGAGTCACTGGGGCTCTTTCCCCACCTGCCCCTTCAGCTCCCTCAGGACCCTGACGCCCTGGCCCCTGGGCAGCCACCCTATGGGGGAAGGGAAGCTCTGGGCCCCAAGCCCCAGAAGTTCAGGAAGAGGGGCGCTTGAGGCTGGAGAGGCGCCGTGACTAATGGGGCCATTTCAGAGCTAGGCTGAGGGGCTGGGCCTGCGGCTTACTGAACATTCCAAATGCTGGTACCATGTAATTGGACATAATAGCAAAGCAATTTGGCGATTTGTTAAAAAGATATATGGAATTTACCAACACCCCCACCCCCACCCCAGCCCCTTCCCAAACCGGCCTTCCTCCTCCTCAGACTTCAGAGCTGCACACTCTCTCTCTCTCTCTCTCTCTCTCTAAGTTTCCTTCTCCCTTGCCCCTACCCCAATCTTCAGGTAGGTCAAGGGCAAGCTGGGGCTCTAGGGGTCCCACCGGGCTGGTTGGGCAGCTCCCAAGGGCCTCCAGGCCCCACCTTCCTGCTGGGGCCTCACCTTGGCAATCAGCTTCCCCTTCTTGTTCATGCAGATATAGAGGCCGGTCTCGGCTCCGCGCACGCGCACTCGACTCCCAAAGGTGTCCGTCTCCACAATGAGCTTTGCTGTCAGGGCAAGGAGGAGGGCTGCTGATGGACAGAACCGTGAGCCCTCCCCCATCCCTCCCAAGGCCAGGTCCTCACTCGCTGACCCACAGACTTGTCACTCCCAGTAGCCACCCCTGGTGTCCCAGGATCTGACACCCAATTCTCAAAAGCAGGGCACCCCTGAGAAAGACAAGCCACTTTTTTGGGCATGGGGCTCCTGACCAGGGCCGACCGAGGGGAACGGATGAGATGCCAGCTTATAGACTGGGTTCTGGAGGAGAAGTTCTTGGGACTCTTCGATCCAAATGGCGGAGTCCTGGTTTTCTACCAGATAGGATTGAGTTGTATGGTAAAACTCCAAGCCAAATGTCCATTGACCGGTGTTGCACGACTAACCAAAAGATCTCTGAGGTTCCTTCCAATGGCAAAGATTATGTGCACCTGCCCCACAGATCCTAACCCCCGTCCCAGGGATTCCAGCCCCCACCTGCCCACCCACCCACTACCTCCTGCTTCAGACTCCATCCCTTGGCCGGTCCCAGCCTCGTCTGCTGAGAAGGAGATAGGATGGAGATGGGCCTCCTGACCCTAACAGCCAAAGCTGATAGCTTTCCAACACTGCAGACACTGACTGAGAGGACCCTGTCCCTTCCCCATTGCTTTCCGGTTCCCATCGTCCCCAGCTCCCAGGTCATGAAGTCAGCAACTCCCTGGTCTCGTCTCCATCAGCCCCATCATGGTAGCCTGTGTCACCACAGGCAGAGACCACTTTCTGTGGGTGAGGAGGGGAGAAAGTCGGGGTGCTTGCCTCTCAGTCTGGAGACCTGTGAGATGGGGTTGAATTCTGTGCCCTCCAGCCCTACCTGTGACCACTCTGGGGTCACAGAAGCCTTAGTCTCTGCACACCCCTCCCTCGGAGGTTGTCCCCGAGAGGGGAGGAGGCTGAGTTAGTTGTCTGGAGATGGGACAGAGCCCAGCTCTGCCTTCCTGGAGGCAGCAGTCCCTGACCTGCACTGACACACGGGCCCTTTCTCCGTCCCTGAGACAGAGCAGAGCAGAAGGCTGGCATCAAGGTCAGCATGGCAGCCTCATTGGCCAGTCTCTGATGGCCCCCTACTCACACAGGCACTGCGCTGGGACCCAGTGGCCAAGTCCCCAGTCTGGCCCCAAGTCAGCCACGGAAATGCAGCTGTCACCTCCCCTCCCACCCACCTTCTCTTAGTCCCAGCCAGACTGCCTTCCAGAGCCAGGAGCAGCTGCTTCTAAGGAGCCAGGATGGCCACTGAGGGGGCCAGCGAGAGGACCTCACTCAGAGGATCCTGATCACACCGGGTGGGACAGCTGGGGATGGAGCAGGTCCCTCGCTTGGACCCGTGAAGAAGCCATCAATCTCTGCTAGGTTCCCCCAGACTCCTCCTGGCCCAGCCTCTGTCTTGCCTCTGGAGCCTCAAGGTCTACCTTTCCCTGTCCTGCCAGCAAGCTGCACCGGCAGGCACCTAAGGAGCCTCCTGTACACTGCAGGAGGGAAAAGGCCATCGGAACCCAGAGCTCGGAGGCCAAATTTCCCTGCCCCTGAGGCTGCCTAGCCTCCCCTTCCCACTGAGAACCCCAAGGATGCTGGACCATTTGCTCCAAGGGAGCAAACCCAGGAGGGTGCCAGGCCTTCCATCCCTTTCCTAGGAAGGGGAGAAGGGTAGGGAGCAACCAGTTTAGAGGGACAAAGGGACCTTAGGCTGGCTGGCCCAGTCAGCCCAGCAGGGAAGCTGGGCCCACCGGCAGGCTGCCCCTGCCCCCACACCAACCCGTAGCAACCCCTCTCTACTTCCCGGATGGGTCTGGGGAGCCCGGCTACAGTTTACAACGGGCTTTCCCCTGACTGGCCGGCTCTTGAAAAGCTTAACATTTTCAAGCCTGTTCTTCCACCCCAGTGACAGATTTATCCCGGGAAAATTATGTCTCCTTCTCCAGCTTCGAAGGGAAGCCAGCTCTGTGGATGCAGAAAAAAAATGCAGCGAGACATACTCGATCCCCCAAACTGGCTGGAGAAGAGGAGAAAGTATTCAGGAAATGTTAAAAAAGGTGAAAGTAAGAAGAGTTTTAATCGTTCTGCCAGACGCGGGGGTCTCTCCAGAGATTCACAGAGAACAATCTTGACCCTCTTTTTTTTTTTTTTTACATTTACAGACTTGCAACCCCTTTCAAAGCCACATCTGAAAAAGGGCTTGTTCTTTTGCTGTTTTATATCCTTCTTCATTTTTCTTCTTAGCTCTTAAAATGCCTCACCTTTTTATTACATTTTAATAGAGTCTTCCCTTCGCCTTTCATGCTTGTTTAACTTGGTCATTATTTAAAGGTTTTTAAACTCACAATAATCGCTCTCTAAAAACAACACCCCCCTCCCGGAGGACTTGCTTTCCTCTGGGCACCTCCAGGTCCCTGGAAATTGGCCCGCTTTCAAGCCAGGAATATTGAATGTTTTAAAAATCAATCAGCCCACAGCCCCTCCAACCGCCAGTAGCTCCGGGGAACACCACCCCGCCGGCGGGAGCCGGGAGCCGGGAGCCTGGTCCAGGATCCTAGTCCCAGTTGCT